ATGTGATGAGTTTTTGTGGTAGAAAATCAGAGGAAGATGATGGACTGAAAAGTAACACAGTACCCTCACCACATGCATCTACTAACACTAATGAAACAAATGATACTGTTGATATTAATGTATAGTAATTAATTAAACTTTATGTCGTAACCATTTTTTAATTAATAAATTTAATAAAGAAACAGTACCTAAAATAACATAAATATAAAAGTAGCTAATATTTTCATTTTCCTATATTGCCATTGACAGTTATAAAATATCGCATCATTTTACTTCTCCCTGTCCCTATTCAAAGTACATATAATGTGCACAATTATGAATCATTAATCTTACTGCAGTAGTCCTGTCAGGCCTGTATTGTGTACTTTTTTTAGTCTGCAATAAAAGTTAGTAATGCACAGGATTACAATGCATGTTTCTGTATATGCAGGTTTGGTTTTAGCAGTATAGCCAGTAAGGCCATACCTTTTATACATGTGTGTGTGTTCATGTATTTTTAGTATCAAAATGTTACTTTACTTACTAGCTCAGCTGACATCTCATCATCATAGTGACTTGTTGACTTCTTTTGCCTGTCTAGCCATGATGAGAACGATGACTATTAAATGACATAAAGAGTAAACTTTTGACTGAACACATACAATGTATATACAGTATATAAGTGGTTATAATCTATATAAGTATAATCTTACTCTGGTCTGATGGGATTCCAGTGCGAAGGATATGGTCTCTTCTTCACTCTATTAACAGAATAAAGTTAATGAAGTTCTATAAATACATCTATCTATCTTGTTACTTGTGTAGTAGAAATAAACGATTATGTAGTTTGTTACTATGGTAATATTATTATGTGTGTATGGTATGCATGTAGTTATTATTAGTGTTTTTATAGTTAACCACATCCTATGCATACAGTATAAATTGGTATCATTTTGATTCATACATTTTTCTCTGCTCTGTGCTCTCTCTCTGCTCTCTCTCTCTCTCTTGAGTATTTGTTCCAGTATTCGTTTTGTGAGCTCTCTCTCTCTCTTACTCTGCTTTAACTTACCTTAAGGTTACTTTTAAATGCGGGTACTATTAATTG